ATTTTTTTTCAACTTATTTTCGAGTTTTAAAATTCAAAGTATTTCTTAAATATTTTTTCTTCGCTATGATAATATATCTCTGTATTTTATCAAAAAATGAAGCAGCACTTATATCTGAATTAATTCACAGAATATTAAACAGAACAGAAGGATTTTTAAGCAACATATAGTTCAATGCTCTGTAGTTTACGTAAGTGGGTCACATTGAAATAAAACATTGTAGACGGTTCAAAACATAAAATATTATAATGTAATGGAGAGACTGACTCCGTGATCCGGGGTGCAATTTTTTAAAGGTTCAATTCAATTTTTTTTAAGTAAGTTAACAAATATATTTTGCGTTTAAAACCGTTGACAGTGTTTTATTTAAATGTACGCAGTTCGTTGGTTCAGAACTCTTCTGTATCTTTTACCCATCCCTGTACCATTTGATTACCGCGTTTTGGGTTTGAATACCACCAATCTTAGACCAACCATGGAGTACTCAAGATGGTCTCACTCGAGAATCACATCTGTATTTTAGGATTCTGTGGTCTAATCCAACGCGCCTAAGATGATTACTAGTTTGAAGCTGTTGTTTTTTCCGATGCCTTAATCTGAATTCTCGATTTTATCATTTTGACAGACTTATCAAGACAAGTGCCGCATCACGGCTGAATCTTTGTTAAGTGGTAGATTCGAGGCTATACGGTGAATAAAATTACTGGAGTTATGCGACCTTTAAAATGTTCCTTGAACAGAAAAACTGTGGATTCAGTTTCGTCATAAATGTTATAGCTGACATCGGTCATAGGAAAAAGACATATATGCTTTTTTGCAAAAGACAAGGTAGAGGATAATTTAACGTTAGGTAGGATCATTCAGGTTGATAGATAACATTTGCAGTCGATCATTTTTTTGCTTTGCTTTGGACGTTTGTAGATCCAGAGAGGAAAGCCGAACAAATGTTCACTTCCGGTTTTTCTATCTGCAGGCCCTCACGACTCGGAGATTTTGTTCGAAATTTTATATTTCTATCACTCGGATTTACAGACTCGTAATGGATGCAACATATGGCTAATATTGAATGGGTCGTGGGTTCTGTCCACACCAGTCCAACATGTTTCTGATCAACTTTTTTGATACATGATACCTAGATAAATGGGTGGTAGAAATATTGAAATTCTGTTCGAACCACTGTCCACAGATCACAGATGTAAAAGCCTTAAAGTACAATGCATTTGAATTTCAGTTTATGAATTTTCGAACACCTAAAGTCAGAATAGGCCGACAGCGGTTAAACATCTAAGATGATAACCCAGCAGTTATCATCTTAGATGTTTAACTGCTGGGTTTTGCAGCAGCACGTGAAACTCATGCTTGTCTGTTCCTCTAGGACTAGACTTTATCATAAAAATATATGTATAAAGAGATCATAATTCGTTGGCGTAATGAAATTTTACGTTATAGAAAAATCTCATTTACGAATAGTAAACGGTTTAACCCGTTTTAGTTACATTTCTGTGTGAGACGGAAAGTGTTTTAAAATCCATCCTTAGCAAACTTTATTTTCAGAGTTAAAGCGTCCACGTCTCAGTTACTCTATTTGTTACTGTTCAATGTTACAATTTCTTTTTCACCCAATTAAATTGAATAAGAAAATGAATTGCTAGGTTTTGTACCAGCGCACCTTTTGTTCGACTATTTAAGTTTTACTTCACAATTCAGCAAAAAGGGAAACTGCGTGGTGCACTGAATTTACATTTTATCAAAGGCTAAAATCTGTCTGGATTCAACTTATCTCTTTCGCATTAAAAATCGTTTAAGATGACAGTTGCACATAATGCTTCTGCACTTAATATTGTCTTAAAAATTCAACAGGCGTTAAAACTTTTCACTTTCATGAATACATTCAAAGACAATTCATGTTTTATTCATAAAGCTTTTAGAGAAACAAAGAAAAGCTTAGCAAGATTAAAGCTGCTTTTTAATGACATAATAAGTTTAATTATTATTTATACGTAGATTGCATACCAAAAATGTATATTGAATTCTATTATTTATAAATATATTTCCATTGTAGTCGTCACAGCAAAGCAACAGTATAATATAAACTAAATATCTCCCCATTTATGGTATAACAAGCTTTTACACCCATACCATTTTAAAATTCAATTCTACAACTCCTAGTGTGATTGTATTTGCTTCAGGTAGCAACTATTGCAACAGTAAGGTCAAGATAATAATCAGTGCTCAAGATACGCTTCTCTGATCAGATTGTTTATTGTGTCAATACGCCTTTATCTTGTTTATCCTAAGATATGTTCGTGAGATTAAAGATGAAAATCGTTTTTCGAATATTACGCAACAACAGACTGCAATATATGTATAGGTGTTATATCGTTAATACAATGGACTGTAATATTTTCTGTATCAACATAATTACATCCGATGTGTCTAATTATCGTAGATGATGTTAAAACAACAAGTATGTTGCTGTGAGCAGTATACATTTTAATAAAACAACATTATTAGTATATAATAAAACTTATTAAATACTGTCTGTAGTTTACGCGAGTAGTACACATTAAAATATAAGACTTTAAAGGTTTAAGACGATTATAAAATGATTATAAGTACGGCCCAAGATTCAGTCTCCCCGTGACTAAGGCTGCTGCGAAGCATCCGAAACGTCAGGTCGTTGTTAAACTAGTTTTTAAATAAGTTTACTCTGATAAATTGTTTTACTTAAATACAGAAAATGTATTCTTTAAAGGTGGCATGCAGCGAAATTACTGAATTCTCTATTTATTTAAATCTAGCCTAGACATAAACTCGACTTAACTTAAATCCCATTTCAGCTACTTTGCTGCAGTGGACTTTACATTTGATTTAACTAAATCTCGATTTAGTGACTCTTTCATTCACTATATTTCGTTTCCATCAAAAATTAATATGCAGGATAAATATGAATTTTCGTGTCAGGTTGTCATGTATGTACGTCAAACTTGTTGTCCAAATGACGAAATTCACAACGAGCAATTTTATTATTATTTTCTCGTCATTATCTAATAACCAAACCAGACGATTTCCGAAAATAAGTCCCTTTTTTACAAAATAATAACATACCAATCAGTTGAAAAATCTTGATTTCATCAAGTGATAGAGTTTTCAAAGTGCCAATTTAATTTGACGTTTATTTCAATCTAGATTTAAGCTAAATTAATGAAGTGGAGGATGTTGGCCGAGAGTTTAATGGAGTAGTTTTTATTATGAATTATATTAATTAGCGGCCCGTCCCAGCTTCGCACGGTTAGATATAAATAGGTACAGATATTTAAGTTATAAGCATGCTAATTAAAACGACTATGAATCACTTAATTTGAAAAAAAAACCTTAACGACCGTTGTCTATCTTTTTCTAATCTCGCTTGGGTACTGTTTTTAGGTAGCTGCGACCTTATTCTTCTAGGGATACTGCTATGAAGAATATTTATTTTAAATCACAGAAATTAAGAATAAACTATTAATGCAAAAATAAATTATTCAAGTCCAAAGAGATAGTTCTGAAAATAACTTTGACAAATATTATGAAAATGTGTGATTCCCAATACTAAAAGTATGTAGCTCTGAAAAGAACTGTTGTGAAGCATAAAAATGTAAAAAAAAACTCGAAATATTCCATATGGCTTGCGTCCACTGCGTCAGGAGCTCACTCGATGCGCTGCGTGGCGGCCGCCGCTGGCATGTATTTTTATTTTAATTTCATGATATCTTTTGAATGGAATGTCCGATTTCAATAATTAGAAAAGTAATCATCAGGTATTGAAACAGTCTCGAATATTAAATTATTTGTTTGGATAAGATTTATAATTGGTATGGATAACACGGTCTCATTTTGATCGGCATTTTAATTGTTAAATGTAAAGAAGTAGTTATAGTGGCGTAAGTGCTATAGTTAGACATATACAATAATTTGGTCGAACATTTTTTGTCCTATCATTAATACTCTTCGCAGCGTATGCGATGAAAGACATTTCATGGCAAATCTTTTTACACTTTCCGTTGGTTTTAATTGGCATTTCTAAAGATTTCTTTAGTAATCTAGTACTTAATATAGTCTTTGTTACTCAGTGATAATGTAGCTTTCTAATGAAAAAAGATTATTAAAACCGGTCCAGTAATATTTTCACTTATTTCTTACATACAAAAATACAAATCTTTCCTCTTTATAATATTAGTGTAGATTTATTCTTAGTTAGTTCGCCTACGAGACATGCTTAATAAGAAACCATTTAATATTATGTGGTCTTATATCTCTTTTATTAAGATTAAAATTATATTCGGCAGTGGAATCGGGGACACAACATCGGATAACTAGTAAACGCTAATCTTTCTGAGGTTCCCTGAACAAAATACTCTCACAGAAATAAAACACTTTTATTATTTGCGTTCGAAACGGCGGGCGTAAATAAAATATATATAATTTAACTAATATATTTCGCGTTTTAAACGGTTTAAAGTATTTAATTTAATTTTGTATAATATATAATGTAAAGTATAGGATTACAATTGCCCTTTTATTGCGATTTTAATACGAGACGATATATGGTATGAACTGTAATAGCATTGAAGACTTGGTATCTATTATATGGTAATTTATTTTTATTTATAATTACACATTAACTACTATAATTAAAATTTTAGAAAAAGTGGCCTTGATAAGTGACAATGTTCTGATGCGTAGTACTGTGTCTCGCTTTTATGTGGCACTAGTTATACTTTTCACAAACTAACCCTCATTTCGTGATATATCCTATTAATATTAAAGGCTTATCGCTATTAAGCCTTAAAAATAAAAATATTTTACAAATACTTGACAAGTACCTGTTGAACAATTGCCTTTTATATATTTCATAGTAAACAGAATACCAATATCCATTTTTTTTGCAATATTATATACATACATAATGTATTAATGAAACACAATTGAATTGATGCATATATTTTAATACAATAGATTTATTCTTGCGGTTCATTAACATTGTTCGGGTTAATATCAACAGTAGTCTTCATTGACCTAACTGTCATATTCTCAGCTTCACTGGCCTTTCCTAGTCTGACCTTCACTGGACCAACTGGGAAGTACCTGCTCGAGAAGGTCACCTCACCTTCCCCACAAAATAGCTCAATAGAACTAGCGTCAATGTATAATTTCCATACCAATATTCCTCGTGGCCTCCAGTTTGTACGCCTGACTCCGTCCTTTCCTCCACGATCCAAAGTAACTAGACCTCGAACACGATCGTAGTTTATTTTCACCGTTGTATTTTCGGCCTCAAGTAACAACTCAAAATCACGCAATGGCGAAGACCTTATTACTATTTCGGCTGTTTTGTCATCGAGTCTTATAACTTTGTCACTCCTCGTTCTACCTGTATGGAGGACACGGCCCCTCGCCGCCAATATATCTTTCACGGGTGTTTGTATTATTCTTCCGTCTTTGGTCAGTTGCAGTCGCCTAGGAATCGTCATTTGTCCATTGAATCCCTCGGCTTGCTCAGGATAGTTTTGGTCCCACATATCCATCCACGCTATAACTATTCTCTTACCCTGTCTATCCAAAGTCGATTGCGTTGCGTATAGATCGTGTCCGTGGTCCAACTCTTTGAATTTAAAAACGGGAGTGAAAACGTTAGTTTTGTAGTCGAAACGACCAACCACATACCCGGTCTGGAATAGATTTTTGTAATTGTCACCTTGCGGCTTAACGCCTTGAGGTGAAAACAATAGTACCCAATATCCATCCAATTCGAAAAAGTCGGGGCATTCAAACATATAACCGAGCTCGCCATCCGACTCCAACAGAATAGACGCCTTCTCCCAGTTTATTTTATCAGACGATACCCACAATAGCACGCGGCCAAGCGTTTCATTGGATTGACCTTTAAATGAGTTGCCCAACACCATGTAATATTTGTCACCGTGTTTCCACACTTTTGGGTCTCTGAGATCAGGCTGGTATTCGCTCCCATTTATGACGGGATTCATTTCGTACTTGCTAACATCGTATCCGTTTTCGCTGGTAGCCAACGCTTGGTATTGGCTATGATCTGGGGTTTCTTTCTCATGATTAACATTACCTGTGTAATAAAGATACATTTTGCCCGCATCTACGAGGCAGCTCCCGGAAAATACTCCGCCGTTATCGTACCACTGGTCCGGATCTAAAGCTACCGGCAGGTGCTTCCAATGTAATAGATCGCGGCTGACCGCGTGACCCCAATGAACTATGCCGGGTCCGTAGCTGCTATAAGGATTATGCTGGTAGAAGAGATGATATTCTCCCTTAAAGATGCAAAATCCGTTGGGATCGTTCATCCATCCTTTTGGTGGGGCAAGATGGTACCTCGGATAGAAGTCCCCCGCAACATACAAAATTCTAGAACAAAGGAAAACGAACGTTAGAATCTTAGCTATCATTTTACGTACGTAAATGACGATCTTTTGATAGCAAGTAAATTATTTCCTGTTGCTTCATGTTTATATACAGAGAACATCGTGAACTCTTTGTTTTGTATTATAATAGGTGTAAGGATTTGAAATGGTGTTTGAATTTAAATATGATGGCGGTTACATAAGTGCTATTATTAACAATGAAATAAATTAATAGGGACATGTTTATTTGAACGACGGTCTGCCATATTTAAAATAAGAATTTTAATTTGTGTACAAGTTACATCGCAAGGTAAGGCGGCGAAATATAGATAGTGTGATATTTCGTATTCTTATATATATATTTAATTATCTTAGAAGTAGTAGTAGTTTAGTATCTTCAATGTCAAAAAAGTTTTTATTTGAGTTCTTACAAAAGTTGTATTGTTTAGGAGACTTTATTTTAAATGGTTTTTATGAAGTCACTTTTAACAAGTTTATTTGCAACTAGCTGTGCCCGCGACTTCGTTCGCGTGGAATACTGACTTGGGGTAGAATTTTTAATTATTTAGGCTCTTTATTAATTATGTTATTGCGTATTTATCGCAGCCAATCTATGTTGTAAGTGCTACTTTGCCGCAACACTCTCACCTCACAACACTCCTACTCTAACTTCCACTCTCACTCTCACTCCCACTCCTATTCTCAAATAGCCAAAAAAGAAAGTTTCAATGTTCTATCTTCAAAAACCACGAATTTCTATACAAACTTTCACCCCCCTTTTTAACCCCTTACAACCCCCTTTTCGCAATAAAAAGCATGTTCCTCCTCAGGGTCTAGACCATATGTGTACAAAATTTCATTCTAATCCGTTCAGTAGTTTTGGCGTGAAAGCGTAACAGACAGACAGACAGAGTTACTTTCGCATTTATAATATTAGTAAGGAGTTTAATATATTGTTTTAAGTATTGTCTGTAGCCTACACGAGTAGTACACATTTAATTAAAACATTTTTAAAACGACGAAATGTATTAGTTGTTGTTGTTGGTAAGCAACTTTAACAACACACTGTAGTAAAAATAGATATAAAAATAATATGTAATAAAATTCGCGCTTTTTCAGTTAGATTGCTTTATTTAAATAAGTCGTCCATACACACACATCTATCATACTCGCCGATAATTGATTAACTGGAAGGAAACGTAAGTTGCGATATATTCAAAAAAGGCAAACCCACGTTCATATTTAATTTAATATTTCAAAATTTAAACTTTCGACGGGCTCCTCGATCTAATGGTAGTAATGTATGGGTCGTAATTTTCCAATTTACAAATTTTCTGACACATGTTAGACTTCGTCTTGAAGTCTGGATATTAAATGGATGTTCGAACGAACGACGAAATTCCGTACGGGTCACGAACCACCGTCTACAGAGGAATTAGTGGAGCTTAATCGCGTTTCGGTTTCAGTCTGTGTATTTCCGAAAACAGAGCCAAAATGGGTCGACAGCACATCTTGTTTAGATGCTATAGGCTGAGGTATATCACCTACCATCAAACGTATCTCCTCTATCATTAAAAAAATCAATGTATTTCAAAAAACGATTTCTTTTATCTATTTAATGGTAAGAAATTCTTTGTAGCGAGCTGGACTAGCGCCTGTTCGGATTAAAATACGTAAACATACGTGGGTAAAAATACCATTCACCCACGCGGCATTAAGATTTCATATAATTATAATTAATTAATATTGCAACTCGAGTTTCTGCGCTCATTAAATTCTCTAGGCAAAACAATAACACGATTTCTAAGGGCTGTTTACAGAAATCTTTGAATTTACCCCTTAATATGGAATATTTGTTGGCATTGTAATTATATTATATAGAATCGGGGAGAAACATCTACTGTAATTATAATTTACAATGACGCCTATTTGAACAAAAACTTGAAACCACTAACACATCGAATAAATGTTATATGTGAAACAACGTGACGTTTTTAAAACGACTAGCGATAAAATTCGGTTACGACGTGCGGTGCTAGCTCAACTATTAGAGCAATCAAACGAGCTAGCACGGAACGGCGTGGTTGTCGTTATTTATGACGCGCCCGGGTTGCCAACCCGGGCGCGTCATAAGTAACGATCATAATAATATATTTCAGATAAAAAAGTAAAAATGGCATATGATTAATTACATATTGACATATTTCTCCTTGAAACAAAACACTTTTGAACGGTTTAAAACGCAAAATGTAGCTACGGCTAAGCTACGGCTCGATTTTAAGGTTGCTTTGCACAATATAGAAAAGCATATTTAAAGGTAGTTAAAATAAATTCAAAATAACTTTAATACATTTCAAGTTTTAAATCGTTAAACAGGTTTTGTTTAAATATATACTACTCGTGTAAAATACACTTGTTTAAAACTTTGTTCGTAGCCCACGAACATATTATGTATTATCCTTATTACTAATATTATAAATGCGAAAGATACTCTGTCTGTCTGTTTGTTACTCTTTCACGCAAAAAACTACTGAACGGATTTGAATGAAATTTGGTACAGACCCTGAGAAAGAAGAGGCTACTTTTTATTGCGAAAAGGGGGTTAAAAGGGGTAAAAAAGGGGGGTGAAAGTTTGTATAGAAATTCGTGGTTTTTGAAGATAGAACATTGAAACTTTCTTTTTTGGCTATTTGAGAATAGGAGTGGGAGTGGGGGTGGGACTCGTAGGTAGAGTAGGAGTGATGTGAGGTGAGAGTGTTGCGGCAAAGTAGCACTTGCAACATAGATTGGCTGCGATAAATTACATAATTTAATAAACAGCCTAAATAGTTAAAAATTCTACCCCAAGTCAGTATTCCACGCGAACGAAGTCGCGGGCACAGCTAGTATATTATATATGAAAACATTTCCCTTTTTTTCAAGCTGGATACGTCGTCATCTGACTTGTCTAAATTCGTCAATATTCAGAATTGATCACTGGTCTTCTAACAAAGCAAAGTTTGGTGCTATAAATCAAATTGCCTACTTTCTAGCTTTTCATTATTCACAAGATGTACTTTTTCCAATTTTCCGACTCGTGTAAGCCGACTTAAAGCCACTCCTAATGGGCAAACAATATTGCTCTAATGAATCAACCACGTTTTGCTTATAAAAAGTCAAGTGGACTTTCAATTTTTATTTGTGCTACATTTTGTAGCCCTTGTTTAGAAATTACCTGATGTGTTCATTTATCGTTTTTAACATAAATAAATTTGTAATGTAAGTAATGATAGTGTAATGTTAAGTAATCTATACTAATATATACAGCTGAAGAGTTTGTTTGTTTGTTTTTTGAACGAGCTAATTCTCAGAAACTACTGGTTCGAATTGAAAAATTATTTTTATGTTAGGTCGAGCATTTATCGAAAAAGATTATAGGCTAAAACATCGCGATGTGACTAATAGGAGCTAAGAAACAGCGATAAATGTGAAAAAATCGGGGGTCATAATTCATCTCTCTGAGTTCTCGATGCGCTGCGAAAAAGGTTCAATGACACCCAAAAATATGTATGAAAGAATGATTCCTCTTTAAATGAACTAAAAAAATTTCCAAGACACTATATGTCTATCTTTTAACATTAACTTGCAAGAACAACGGGACCCAAACGACGAGCCGCGAGCGACGGGACGCGACCGATGTCGAGAATAACAGCTTAAATTTATAAAGATAAAGAATAGGTTTACAAAGAACAAATTTGGATGCCCAAAATAACAATTCCACACGGACGAAGTCAATTACGCAGCTAGTTATAAAATAAATAGCTATGGAATTTTTTATCAACTTCATTAACAATATCTATTTCTTCTTAAAACTGCCTTACCTCCACGTGCCTAACAACTTTTATACGATTTCCCGATGGAATTATTAATTTTCCGGACCAAATATACCGGAGTCCTTACATTGTTACTATCTGATGAAGCAAAACTTTTGGGCTTACGAAATGGCGTCGAGCCCTTTCGAAAGGGTATTTTATATTTTTATGAACTACGTGTGCTCGCTATTTTAGTGTTTTGGGACGAAAATCACACGTGGATACAGGGCTCGTAAAGGAACTTCCTAATTTAATACTCTATCTTTTCATATAACGGTTCGCCGGCACTATAGCCCAACTATACTAAAAATTGAAGTAGATTGGTTACAGTAGGGAATACGTTCAAATTAAAAAAAAGTCATTACGTAGTCACATAACTAAAATAATCTCAAATACCAAGGAAAACTAAGTTAAAAATATTCTATCATCTTTTCCGCTTTGTGTAAGTTTTTCTTCAAGTTACTGGAGCTAGTAATAAACCTACTTAGCTTAAGCACATAACTATTTTGACGGGTTCGTTGGTCTACTGGTAGCAATGACAATTAATCAATGGGTGATGGCTTCGAACCCCATCGGGTCCATCCCAGCAAAATGGGTCGATAGCGCATCTTGTTTAATTCTTGTAAGGCCTATTTTACCTTTTATCAAGTTATTGCCGATTGTTTTAGATGTTAGTCATCCTCTACCATACTAAAAAAAGTAAGCAATGCAAGGCAACGGGAAAACTTAGCAACATACCACACAAATACATACTTAGTAACCGTTGACCCTTTTTGCAATCTTCACTGTCTTGTATATATGGGCTTAGCCCGCTTAGGCAAGATCTTCACGCGTGATTAATTACAGTTGAATACCTTGCCAAGACCATGTCTTACCATATTTTTATTAAGGGATATTTACAACTTTTGTAACGTACAGTAAGATTACAAAAATTGGTAATAGTTTTATTGGAGGATACGGGATGTATTATTAGTCACACCTATGACAAACCATTTTATCAAACGACGAAAGCGACAGCTGAGCGCGGCTGTAGCACCGCTACCATGTTGATTCGGGGTTCATTCCGCAGGTGGCGTAGAATTATAATTTACACGTGGATTATACCCTTACTTTATTTGCAATGATTACAATTCCAATTAAATTAAATCAAAAGAGTGGTAAACCCACAGTTTCGTTTTAAAGATGTAAACTATA